TGCTTCTGTAAGAAGAGGCCGGAAGAATGCGTTACCTCTTAAATATAGTAATCCTGAGGAATTACAAGTGAAAAGAGTTAATGCCAGCAGTAAACTAATACAGAAGCCATTAAAAACAAAAGATGGATTTAGTTTTCCAAGTCAATCCAAGGTAGTTGTTTTAACTTTTTAGCTCTGCTTTTTTTTTTGAAAACTACAAGTCTGATTGCTTTGATATCATACATATCGGTACTGCAGGTGGACCTCTCTCGGATATCATCATGTTGATATGTCCAATTATCTAATATTTATGAATATTGTTGGTAAAAGGTGATATTTGACATCTTGTTGAAAACATCAAATTCAATTTCTTTGATATTGTACATATAGGTACCTCAGATAGGCCGATCTCAGATTTGTTCATTTTGTGATGATATCTTCAATTCTCTAATTGAAATGTGCAAGAGGCTGCTCGTTTTTCTATTAGTATTGTTTGTGCTTGCATTTATGGTGGGGGTGTGTCTATATTTCAATGATCGAGCAGATAATGATGGCAATTTTTATTTAATGTATGCTTCTTTTGGTGATGTACTTCTAATACAGTATATGTCATTGTTATACATCTGTCATCCTAACGCCATAAGTTACAGTGTGTTATAATTTTGTAGTATTGCACTGGGTATTTTCATCCTATCATATTAGGAAACACGAATATGGAACAATTGCGCGCGTAAGCGTTCTGCAAACAAACATGGCTTCCCCCAGGGTTTGACAGGACCCCACACAATAAAGTTTGCTAAATCTGTTCTAAATGTTTTGGATTTCGGCATTCTCATGATGTATTCCCGGGTAGAAAAGATGTATAATAATATTAAGGTTATTACGAGGATACTGCAAAGTATGCACTCAGACAGTACCGCGGTCGCATCTACTTCCGCTGCGCAATGGTCAATACTCCCGCTGTATTGTCTTTGTGCAGTATCCTTGTAATAACCTTATATTTCTACATTTGTTTGTGCAAGATGACAACTAGCAAATGACATGCTTTCATGCTCACATTTTAAGAATTGAATGAATTTTTCTTCTGTATAAACCAAAATATTGACATTGAAATGTAGATAAGAAGCTATTGAAGAAGGCTATTGCAAATATACTAGTAATCAATGCATCAATTCCTAGATGAATGCACAAATTTATCGAATATATATTTTGGCTCTATGACAAACACATCTATTATAGAAGTGGCATGCGTCCAAATATTTTTTTTTCTAATTTTTTTTTCGTGTCATTTAACTACTGTAGAATACTTTATTTTCGCTTGGAATTTATTTTCGCTATTTTCGCTGAAGGGATGATTCCGTGAAAATAAAATCCAGCGAATATACTTTTTTTTCTATATTTCACATTAAACTCATCCAAAATCAGTGAAAATAAATTCCATACAAAACGCCCAAAAAGCCTTTTCAGCGAAAATTAATTCCAGCGAAAATAAAGTATTCCACAGTAATTGCATGTGCATCTAATATAGCAAATACACTGAAATACATCTGTTTGGTAATACTTGTTCTTTCATTTTGTTTTCTTACAGCTTCTGAGAAGCAAAGATGTAACTCAACCCCTGCCTGCAATTCACGGTTAGTCAATCTTTTTTTTTATCAGATTTTCTACTGAAATATCATCTTAATCAAATCACAATTCCTCCTATGATTACGTCTAACTATCAGATCACCTGTTTTCCCTCTGTCAATTCAAACATCTCGTAAGAAATGACAACTTTCAGATATTATTATTATAAAATAAATCAAATCTAGAATTTATTCACACAAATCATTTGTACTTGATTTCAATCTGCTTACATGATTATACAAACAAAAACATTTGTATTGCATTGGTATTCAAAACTGTTAAAAAACACGCCCTCTCTGTCTGCTCAGTGGAATAACAATTCAAAAGATGCTAGGTTCTATACGAGTCTCATTCAATATTTTAACTTGTATGTTCAACATTTTATTTAGTTACAATGAAGAATGTAGCTGTAAGTCTTTTTTAGCTCCGCTGTCGACTTTGTCGAGCGGAGCTTATCATATGAGTGATTGTCCTCCGTCGTCGTCGTCTGTCGTCGTCCGTCGTCCGTGTCAATGTTTTACTTTTTCGACTTCTTCTTGAAAACTACAAACCTGAATGCTTTGATACTTGGTGTTTATGTACCTTGAGTAGACCTCTCTTAGGTTTGTTCATTTCATGTTGATATCTTCAATTCTCTAATTTTGGTGAATATTTTTGTCATTTTTGGTAAAAAGTGATATTTTCGACTTCTTGTTAAAAACCGCAAGTGCAAATGCTTTGATATTACATATATAGGTACTACATGTGGACCTCTCTCAGATTTGTTCATTTTGTAATGATATCTTTAATTCTCTAATTTTGGTGAATATTTTTGTCATTTTTGGTAAAAAGTGATATTTTCGACTTCTTGTTAAAAACCAGAAGTCCAATTGCTTTGATACTACACATATAGGTACTACATGTGGACCTCTCTCAGATTTGTTCATTTCGTGATGATATCTTCAATTCTCTAATTTTGGTGAATATTTTTGTCATTTTTGGTAAAAAGTGATATTTTCGACTTCTTGTTAAAAACCGCAAGTCCGATTGCTTTGATATTACATATATAGGTACTACATGTGGACCTCTCTCAGATTTGTTTATTTTGTGATGATATCTTCAATTCTCTAATTTTGGTGAATATTTTTGTAATTTTTGGTAAAAAGTGATATTTTCGACTTCTTGTTAAAAACTGTAAGTCCGATTGCTTTGATACTATTCATATTGTTCATTTTCTAATGATGTCTTCAGTTCTTTAATTGAAATGTGCATTGCTAAGAGCGGAGCTATCTCAGCCGATAGGCTGCTTGTTTTATTGTCCCAGTGGCCTGACAAATATTTACTGGAAGGAAATTATGAAGTTAAGGAGTACAAGAAATTAATAATATTTTCTTTTCATAATTATTTGTTCATAAAATTATGTAGTACAGACCTCACCATTGATGCAGATTTTTGCACTTTGTTGTCTATTTTTGTTGATTTAATTTTAGATCAAATAAACATAATTTCAAGTTCTCTATGGTTCTTAATCAAAATGCTGGTATTCAAAAGGTTAAAACTTAATTATCTTTTTGTTTACAGGCATCTTCAAACAAGACAACTCAACACTTGATTTGCAGTCCGAATGCCTGAACAGAATGAATCAACTTAGAAAAGAAGGTCTTTTTTGCGATGTGAATATCGACATAAATGGTAAAATAATTAAAGCTCACAAAATAGTGCTATCAGCTTCTAGCCAAGTACTGCAGCAATTATTCACCAACAACTCTGTACTGCTGGGTGAAGAAATGTTTACAGATGATACTGCAGATGCTTTGGAGACTGTCATTGAGTTTATATATACTGGGAAATGCAGTCTAACCAAGGATAATGTGACTAATGTTTTAGGTATTGCACAGAGATTTCATCTTAAAAAACTTGAGGAGAAATGCATATTAATTTTTAAGGAAAAAATGAATTTTGATGATAAAGAACAGAAGCAGAAATTATCTGATTTAGAGATGGATTTCCGTGGCATTATAAATGATTGTGACGCTGTAGAGTATTTTCCTGAAAACCGCATCAGAGAACAGATGTACTTTAACGAAGACATTTTGGACAAATCGTATCTAATATCCCAGGAATACATAGTCAGTGATAACGACGAGCAAATTTGTGAAAATTCCATGAGAGAAAAAGAAGATAATTTCAACCAGTCGCTCAATATCAGTGAGAACTCAAATTGTTCTGAGCAAAGCAGCACTGCTTGTCTGAGGCAGCTGTTAACAAAGAATGTACCCGGTCTTTGTCATGGCAGCGAGAAAACAAGCACGGACGATGGAAAAATTCATCATCTTGGCAATTGGAAAATCAAACAAGAAAATGAGAATGCTGGAATACTTGACGATGAGTATCAACGTCAGTGGTTGAATCTAGACTTTGAAGATGCTAGTGCTTCGTCTGTGTTGGAGCACAATGTGCTTATGACATCTGCAGTGTATGAGGAGGACCTCCACGGAACTCTGTTCCTTTGTATTGAATGTGGTAAAAGTTTCCCATCAAAAAGAAGACTTTTAAAGCATGAAAAATTACATTCAAAAGAGATGTTTGGATGTCATTTGTGTGGTCAGATGTTCTCTTCTCAAAATATATTCGATGAACATCTATCTTCCAAGCATGGAATTACACAAGACATTGTTGAGGGGGATTGTAATCCATTGCCTGGCATGATGCGATCAGTGAAGATGGAGGTGATTGACATAGATAAGCCGAGCAAAGACAAACTGCATTTCTGCGCTGTGTGTGGGCGAGGTTTTGCAGAGAGGTATCGGCTGATGCGGCATGAGAAAATACATACTGGCGAAAAACCATACAAATGTAGTAATTGTGATAAGGTGTTTTCTCGCAAGGATAATTTAGACAGACACTTTTTCGTCCAGCATTTGATACGAGACCGGGAAATCAAAGCTGAAAAGACAGAGGTTACAGAGAATGATGATAAAACAGCAGTGAATAATGTTGAGATGAAAGAAATTCCAGCTGTCGAGACTATTGAAGATACCAGTAGTAGTGATAAAACAGACCTGTTAAAAATGTTCACAAGTAATGATGTGGTTCAGAAAAAAAAGAGCCCAGTAAAACAATCAATGAGCAGTTATTGTGTTGATTGGTTTATTGAAGGACAACCTACAAAGTCAAAACGGCATGTTTGTGAAGTTTGCGGTAAATCATTCACAAATAAGTATCGGCTAGTGCGTCACCAAGTTATACATACGGGAGAACGGCCATATAAATGTGAGATATGTCTTCGTAAATTTACTAGAAAAGACCATATGGAGAGGCACAGATTCCGACAACATCCCAATGGGGAACTTGGTGTTCCACGCAAAGGAAGAAAGCCGAAAGGTGAATCAAGCAAACTCGACCTGATCGACTACTCTTTTGATTTTCATAAAAACATGAGTACAGATCCAGTGGTTGATCGTAGCGAATCACAATCACCAAATGCAGTCGATGGTGCTGTTAACTTCACGAATGAGGATAACGATCCCGGTCCTGAAAAATATCGATGTTATCTTTGTGGGATGAGCTTCAAGAACAAAGGCAACTTACGAATTCATAATAAAAGTCACGCCTTTGTGGACTGTAAAAGTTGTAAGACTGTGTTCCTTGGAGCTGAGGAATTAGCAGAACACCGATGTGAAGATTTTGCATCTGGTAAGGTGCCGGGGCCATCACTATTACATAAATTTAAGTCTGAAAATTGAATTCATATATCTGAGTTCTAGCTTCTGGTGAAGTATATTGTTTTTCCCAATTGAGAAGAACATAGGTTTAATACAATTGGTAATTCAGTTTATTAACTGACTGGTCTTTCTCAAAGGCCATACTCTTCTAATCTCGTACTATTAATTCTTCAAATAAGTTGGTGTTAACATTCAGAAATTGTTTTGAGAGAAAACTTTGCAAGGTGAATAATTTGAGAAAACATGATATAAAACAGACAAATTTTGATAAAACGGGATTCAGATTTCTACATTTTCACTTTTTTAGGTACTTATAAATCATTAAATAAGATTGAGATATTTTTGTGATTATCTCTACCAATTTTTACACATCTTATTACATATTTACTCTCTTTCCATCCATGTTTTACCCTCTATCAAGTTCAACATGTGAAAAAAAAAAGAAAGTTTGTTTATGACACTAATAAGACACACTTGTATCTTTTCTAAACACATTTGATTTGGGTCCTGCTATAAATCAGATTGCACAATAATTGTTTATTGGTTGGCCTTCAACTTGTTATACTCTACAATACTTTATTTTCGCTTGGAATTTATTTTCGCTATTTTCGCTGAAGGGATGATTCCGTGAAAATAAAATCTAGCGAATATACTTTTTTCCCTATATTTCAGATTTAAACTCCATGAATTCCATAAAAAATGCCCAAAAAGCCTTTTCAGCGAAAATTAAATCCAGCGAAAATAAAGTATTCCACAGTAAACAGTAAATGGGCCTTAAACATGTTGATAATCATAACCGATATTTATTCCACTTTAAGTTTTAGACCTATGGTAGTGTGAAAACTCTTTCAAAATTTTTTATTTATCATGCATACATACCTGTAGCAATTTTATTTATTTATACAACATGTAATATATATATATTGCAAAGTATATAATTATAATTTATTTTCATGCTGCATGGATCAACGTCAAATTCATCTCAAAGGTTCAAGTGCTCTGTTGCCATGGTTACAATGCTGAATTCTTTGCATTTAGAATTCTTTCACGTATTGACACTCAGGTCTCGTTTTTGGTTTCATATTTATTAATATTTACCAGATCTTTTGATGTTGTTCCAAATTTCCTAGAAAAAAATGCAGTTAATGAAAATGTTCTGAAGAAAACACAGAAATATGATAATTATTAGAGCATTTTTACATTTTGAAAATTTCAATAGTCGGAAGTGCTTTTAACACTAAGAATGCAATATTCAGTGGTTTGTTGTTGTGGTTTGCTTATTTGCAGGGTATGCAAGTACTTCTGACATCGGTGTTAGTGGGATGTCTAGCACCGTATTTTTAATATTAGAAGCTCTTTCGGTTACAAAAATGGTTCAGTGCAAATTTTTGGTGTATAAAAATATCACCAAAGTGCAACTTTTGGCTTGTATGCACGACAATTAGAAGTGCGCTTCTATTAGAGCAAATATGGTAGGTATGAAATGACTACCTGGAAAATTGATAAGGGATAGTGTTATGTGCAATGCATTGAATTTTATTCTCAGTTGGGTCTGATAGATAACCCATAATACACCACTCTAAAAATGGCTTCCATGACTTAATAGATAGGTCTAAGCAATGGCATTCACAGCTCTGTGTAGTCACTTAGAATATAGTTGATCTCTCGAAAACATTCTGTAGTCATCGATGACTACAGATCAATCAAGTATTAATGCTGAGTACTATAAAGGGGGTAATTATTCACTGGGTTTTAATTTAGCTTATTTCGCTGACTGGAAAAATGCGCTAAATTAAAACACAGTGAATATGTAAAATTTAGCATAGAACACATTATCTAAATGACGAAACCATGAATTTAAAACCCACTGAATATGCCTGAAATGGTAAATCAGTGAAATTTAAACCCAGTGAAAATTAGTCATTTTACAGTACCACATGCACATGTGAAATAATGCATGTCTATTTTAAAATTGTACACACTGTATACACCCACAATATATGGAAAGTTGCGTACCCTCCCAGTCGTTGATTTCTACAACACAGGGAATTTTGTCACTTGACCGCTATATTTGAGTTCATGTTGATAATGCAGCCATATTACCGTAGTTTCCCCATCAACTTTGCATAATTAGTCATGGAAAAAGATATTTTTAAGGTAACGAAATCTTCTGAATATTACGACAGAGTTGCGCAACTTTCCATATATTTTGTGAGAACGGTTTGTGTACATTTATGCAATGAATATTTGCTAATCCATGTGTGACTGGCGTGTTTCACCTGTTTACTTCACAGAAGCACTTTGTCACTAGAGGGATGCGACTTTGAGCAAATGTTGGCTCGCATTTAGAGAAGATTTTTTTTCAATTTGCAATTTCTCGTTGTTATGTGATACTTTGTCTTGGAAAGCTTGAATGAATTTTTTGTTAAATTGTTAAGATGTATTTGCTGATTATTTAAGAAATTAGACATTTTGCTTTTTTTTTGATAATTATACGAAATGTTATATTTTAATATTTAATTTACATACGTGTTTCTGGCCAGTGAATTTTTATTTCAGTTACAAAACAGGTTTCCATGCTCCACTGTCAAAACCTCTCTTAAGAGCTGCTCGTACAACAAAAGATCTCTTTAGAACCTGTACCAGCTTGTCTGGATGAATATTGTTGAAATTTTGGAACTGTACAGACTTTTAGCTGTAATAATCTGCCTGCAAAAGAAACAAAAGCCAAGACATGTATTTGTAAGAAATCAAAACTGATTCTCAAAGAGTCTGTGGCAAAGTATAATAAATGATGAGAGACGGTCAATGATTCAGAAAGGAATTATTAGGATAGATAGTGATGACAAATTATTGAATGTGGCAGTGAATATTTGAAGATCCAGGCGAATAATCTAGGAAAATAAGGCTGCCACATTTTGTGTTTGACGTCAAAGCACTGTATTCTGCAGTATTTTATTCCTTGAAATGTTATTGCTCATAAACATACCGATAAATATTATTTTGCATACCTAATTAATTTTATACAAATATGAGACTCAACACTGTTGTGTAATAATGTCACATGACCAGATCATGTGACTTGGCAATTACTATTTTGTATCTATAAACACTAATTTCAAATTTTCTTTTTGATTTTACTAATTATTCTGAATAATTAATTCTATGTTCATTTAATAATTTATTATGTAGATTTCATAGTAATATATTGGTTAATAAAGGATTATTATACAAATTTGTCTGTGTTAATGCAACGGGAGCACCCGTTGGTCTTCATAGGACGATGTTACGATTGCATAATTTCAATAATTTATTTAATGTTTAAACTAAATATCATCCTACCTACTTTCATTTGTACTTAGCTTTTAAAATTATCTAAGTTATTTTGCCTGTACAAACTCAGTAGTAGGCAAAAAACAATACACTATTTTGTCGGTCCAAATTTATGCAGTTGGGGGAATTTGGAAAATGATAATTTATTTTTTTGCAATGAAAGTTTAAAGTTTTTTAGGCAGGTTGTTGCATTATTTGCCGAACTCTCTTGTGTGGATTTTGTTAGCTGGACTGTCTTTCCAAAACAGAGTCTAGGTCATGAGAATGGATTGTTGTGAAATTTTATTTCTGAAGCTCTCTGTTGAATTATATTTTCAAGAAAGTTGCCATGTTTTAGTTTGGCAAATTAATTTACGAAAGTTGTTTTTCGTAACGTTTGAAAATTATTCTGTAAGTGCGTCTTTGGGGTCAAAATAGTGTCATATGCTAATCACCTCACCGATGCGTGAATTATGATTTTTGATTGGCCAAATAAATATCGCCGGGAATAAACTTTCTGCAAACGCGCATTTTAGCACCACGAATTTGACGAAACTCATAATATTGGGAAATAAAATCATTCCAAAATGTAAAAACAACCAGATAAACACGTGTAACAAAAACAAAAGCACAAAATATACCGGGACTTGCTATCTAAGCTGTAAGGTCGACAAAGAGGTCATCGTATTCATCTTCAGTCATGGGAATAAACAGAACCTGGCAAGTCATTCAAGAGATTCTTAACAATCATTGCATAATCCAAACTCTAAAAATATTTATATATCTCTAAAATGAAAACATTGCGGTATTTCAAAACGTGGGCTTGCAGGAAAATTTAAAAGTTCTTCAGACTTCACAAAATATCTCTGTGGTGCTTCGCTCGGCCGGTAAGGGCGCCTCTCACGCTTACATGTCAAGCTAGTGGGTAGACTACCATGCATCATTTTTTTTTAAACCGGTTTGTGATAACGATTTAGTAAATGCTATAACGCCCCTGATGTTAGTAAGTCTGTTTTATATGACCACCTTCATCCTAAATTAGTCATTCACTCAGCGAACATCATTTGTAACCCCATGCAAAATTTATACATGTAAACTGTTCACTGACCCAACGGGTCCTTCTGATCCCTCTTAAAGTCGCTGAAATTGTTCTACTTTTTAAAAAAATGATCAGCAACTGTTCTAAATAACTATCATCACATTTCTATAACAAAATAACAATTATCACTTATCTAGATAATTACAATATAATGTCCCATAAACAATTTAGCTTTCGTAAACAATATAAATACGACTTGTAAAACGATTTGATAAAACAAAACATGTTATGTTCCGACTACATTACTATAAACAAAACTATATATCTTAAATTTGATAACTAACGGAAACTACTGTGCCATGCATTGCTTGTTATTAAAACCATGATATGATTACAATATAATTTTGCATATCTCATAAGGCCACACCGACTTAATTTTATGGATGACATCCGCGCGCACATTTGTTTTCGCCTGTTCTAAAAAAAAAAAAAAAAAATCTTTGATGACGAGACTCCACAGATCGGTTTTCTGTCCGGAACTTGCCGACTCATATTGTCGCAAAGCGCCGACTTGTCGTAAAACTCGTTTTGGACTACCTCAAAACCAAACTCCGCCGCACAGTTAGATGCGCGTTACGTAAAGCGCAAAGACCTATGGGAAGGAGATTGT